AGGCTTCCCCTCAGGAGGAGGAGGCCTCCTAGAGGTTTGTGAGGGACCTCCTTAGGGAGACCCCTATGCGATCTCTCCCCTCTGGCGGGGCCGGCCTCCAGAGCGGCCCCGGGGGCTGCCCGGGGAGCGGGCTTCGGAGGCCGGGGCGCGGCGTATAGGGGCTTCCCCTTAGGCCTCGGGCCCCGAGCCCCGAGCCAGGCAGGCGACCTCGAGCCTCGAGCTTCTCCGAATTTTGATCCTCGTTCCTCGACCCTGGATCGGGGGAAGGAGAAGCGACACCAACATTACCAGGGAGGCTATGGTTGGTATGGTTCGGTATGGTATGGTATGGTTTTGTTCGGTATTGTGTGGTATGTATGGTATGGTATGGTGTGGTATGGCATGGTAGGTATGGTATGGTATGGTATTGTTTGGTAATGTGTGGTATGTATGGTATGGTATGGTATGGTATGGTATGGTATGGTATGGTATGGTGTGGTATGGTAGGTCTGGTATGGTATGGAATGGTAGGCAGGTTATGATATGGGAGGCTGGAATGGTAGGCGTGGTATTGATATGGGAGGCGGGAGGCGGGAGGGAGAAGGAGAGGATGTTCTGGGAAAGCAAGAACCCCACTCAGGATGTGGGGAAAAACACAGGGAATGGACGTCCGAGCCATGGCCAGAGGGTGAGAGCCAGCTGGGGATCGGAGGTGGCCCAGGTTTGGTTCTGGCCCGCAGGGCGGGGAGGCATGGGTTCCGAGTTCTGGGCTCGAGCAGGAGTTTATTTGTTTCTGCTTGGTCTCTGGGGTCAGTTTTTAGGCCCGGGGACGCCAGGACTGTCAACAACGGATCTGGGGTGCAAAGCTGCGCCAGGTGGGCCCCGGGAGGGGTCCGGGGATCGGTTTCGAGCGGTTTTTGGCCCCATCCCCCCCTCCTGACAGATTTTCTCGGGGCCCATCCCCTCCTCCTCCTCCTCCTCCTCCTCCTCCTCCTCCTCCTCCTCCGCCTCCTCCAGACCCCCTAGCCGCCTCCAAGGAGTGGAGGGCGCTGGCTGTCCCCGTACAGCCTGCCAGCAACAGATCGCCACGGCGTTTCTGTGGGCGCTCCTCGGGGAGGCTGCTCCCCGGAGCCCAGGGCCGCGAAGAAGCGGCGCCGCCGCGTCCTTCATCTGATGCGGGAGCCGAGAGCTTTGGAGTTCCCTTCGCTCGGGAGCCTGGAGACGGGGAGGGCGGAGGCTTCGGGGGCTGGGCGGCCAAGGGGGGGAAGGGGGGGGCTTCCAAGCCCCCCCCCCTTTTGCACAAAGGGGGGAAGGGGGGGGAAGCTTCCAGCAGGGCGGCTCCAAGGGAGGGGGGGGTAGCTTAAGCACCCCCCTCCCTTTGGAAAGGGGGGTAGGGGGGGGTAGCTTCCGGGGCCAAGGGGGGGGGCAGCTTCCAGCAGGGCGGCGCCAAGGGAGGGGGGGGTAGCTTAAGCACCCCCCCCTTTGGAAAGGAGCCGAGGGGGGCGGGTAGCTTCCGGGGAGGGCCCAAGGGGGAGGGGGGCCTTGCAAAAAAAGGGGGGGGGGGGTGCTTCCAACGAGGGCGGCTCAAGGGAGGGGGGGGTAGCTTAAGCCTAGCCCCCCCTCCCCTTTGCTCGGGCCCTGTGGGCGCGCTCTCTCATATGACATATATATATATATATGTATACATATACATATGTATGCATGTCTGTCTGTCTGTCTGTCTGTCTGTCTGTCTGGCTGGCTGGCTGGCTGGCTGGCTGTCTGTATGTATGTATGTATGTATGTATGTATGTATGTATGTTTATATATATATATATATGTATATATATATATATATATATCATGTTTTGGCGTTTCCCATTGCGAGCGTGAGAGTGTGAAAGTCCTAGCCTGCGACGACTGCGCGCTCCCTTGCGGCTCACCCTCTGAAACGAGGAGTCGGGGGTGCCAAGTTTCGCGATTCGTTAGACTTCCCACGATCTGGCCGCAAGCGATTACGTGTAACACATTCCTAGCGTCTCCCCCTTGGGATGCCCAAGAGCTATGCCTGCGACATCGCGGATATCATGGGGCCATGAAAGCAGAGGAGTTCAAGGCGGAAGACAAACGCTTCGCTTGAGTCATTCGTGCAATTTGAGCGCGAACGAGCAAGTGCACGCGCACAGCTCTGGCGGCACCGCCCGAGGAGCCGGAGGTGCGCTGCGAGCGCCTCGCTGAAGACTTCCCAGCAATCTGAGCGCGAACGGGCAAGTGCCCTCTTTCCCTGCGGCTGCCCCTTGAAGTGCCCAAGAGCTATGCCCGCTGTTTCGCTGTGATCAGCGGGCTCTGAAGGGGGCTAAGCTGGAGGTGCAAAACAAGCGCCTCGCTAGAGACATCCCAACAATCTGGCCGCGAACGGACAAGCGCCCCCCTCGGCATCTCTTCCTTGGGGAGCCCACGTGCCACCACTCCTGCATCGCGATGAGGATTGGCGAGTGAGTATGATGAGCCAGCGTGGGTGGGTCAGAGTGTGAGTGGCAGAGTGTGGGTAGGTTCTGACTAAGCGACTGTGCTGAGCATCAGCGCGTCTGAGTTTGAGTGAATCTGAGTATGAATGAGTCTAAGTATGAGTGAGTCTGAGCATGAGTGAGTTTGAGCGTGCTTGATCTGACGTATGCCTGACTAAGTGTGCATGAATATGACTACGTCAGTGCGTCAGAGTGTGCGTAAGTGTGAGTGTGGAAGGGAGAAGGCGGGAGTCCTAGCACGCGGAGGGATCGCTCCACGAACAAGAAGCCCATCTTAGGATATGACAGACACAGCAGGAAACAGACTTTCGGTGCTCCGTGCGGATCTTTTGAGCCAGCGCAAGCCATCCTTCCCGCGCCACGCCCCTTGCCCGGCGCGCGACTCCCGCTGGAGGTGGCGCCGGGGGCTCCGGTAGGGGTGCGGGGAAGGGGGGGTCCACTTGGCATCGCTCGGACGTGTGCACTTCTTTCTCGTTGCGGACCAGTCTGGATCACCGAGCAACAAAAACACGCACGAAACCGATGAATGTACGGGGAATGGACATCCGAGCGATGGCGAGTCCAGCGCCAGATGTAGAAATCCGAGCGCACATCCGAAAGTCTGTGTTGACTGCGGTTTCCTGCCCTTCCAGGAGTGGGGCTCCGGGAGGCCTCGGGGGGACTGGCGCCGGGCCCAGACCCACGGCCGCCCTGGGGCATTACATCGTCCATCGCGGTGCGGTCTTTACAGTGTGCCAGAGGAGGAGCAGGAGGTTCAGGGCCTTGTTAGGGGGCGATAGGCTCAGGGGGGGATGTATCGACCCCACATCGCCCATTGATTGACGATAGGGTCCCGATGGCCCATCCCGCTCAAGAACGTGCTGTTTTGCCATCGGAGGCCCATCGCCAATCTATCGGCGATGTATCGCCGATTCCAGCTCGATGTTTCCCTCCCTGAGCTGGCCCCCCCCCAGCGTTACCCCTCACAGGAGGTGGTGGAGGGTTGAGGGTAGTAAGCGACGGGCTCCGCTAGCACTCGCGAGGCAGTCAAGATGTGATCACCACTGCGGGCGGGCACGGGTAGCTCTGTGATCAGCATCATTGCGACCCGCACTCTTGGGAGGCTTGAACGGACAGCGCACATCCTCCGTGCCCTTCCTCCTCCGTGAAGCTCCCTCCTGAGGTGTTCTCCTGGACCCCCGGACCCCGCCCGGGGCTGCTGGAGACTGCCAGAGGCTGCCGAAGACCGCCGTTGCCCGGGGGATCGATCCTCTTGGACCTCGGCAGGCGGTGGATATGGTAATATAGTCGGCTCGGCCCCCTTGTCCTTGGGGCCAAACAATGTACCCACTCTTGGGGACCATTTTTTGGCCCTTGATGTTCCAGGGTGGACCAGGCGGGGCTTGAACCAGCTAGCTATTCTCTCCAGGTCTTCATTTCGTCGCTGTTTATTCGTTCGCTCGTCCCCCCCCGGCACCACTGCCCCTGTCTCCTCATGATGGTCATGATCTAGGCCTCCTAGATGGGGTCAGAGCAGATGGGGTCGGGGGATCGCGCCGCATCGCCGATGCATCGGCGATGCATCGGCGAGAACCCGATTTTCTCCACGCCTACGTCGCCGATGCATCGCCGATGCCCCTGCCTCCTCATGATGGTCGTGATGGCCCCAGGAGAACACCAGGATGGCACCAAGAACCTTCCCGCCTCCTCTTCGCCCCGCCTCGCCTGGCCCTCGCTCTCCCTCGTGCAGGAGCCTGGGCATGCGTGCCACTCTTTGCTCCAGAGTGTTCTGGAGCTCTCCAAGGGCGTTCTGGGGCGCTATGCAGCGGCCGCGGAACCCGATGCATCCTCCAGAACTGCCCGACCTCAGAGATCTCCGATTTAGCCTGCTTCGATTTTGTCCCAGACCTGTCTGCGTCTACGTGGATCGTAGCAGCTTCCAGCGCGCCACCATGGTCACGCGTCCATTGCGGCTGACAAACGTTTGTCTTCCTCGGGCACGCGCGCCAGCACAGCTGCCAGCTCTGCCATCGCGTCTGCAGCTGCGCTGCCCCTTGCGCGTGCAGAAGGGGGTCCAGCGCCGACCCAAGCAATCCGCGCGGACCTCTGAAGGTTTACGGTCAGGAGCTTATGCTTAGCGTGTCGATCCGCTGGTTCTGGCCTACCATGCTTCGGCGCGACACGCGAACCGTTTTCTGGTCCTCACGCGTCAACGTCCCGAGCCGTTCCCAGCCTCCTACCCGAGGAGCGGAGCGACACGCCATCAGCTTGCAGGGCATGGCGTGTCGTTGGGGCCACCGCCGCGACACGCTAAGCAGAGGCTCCTGGCCGCTAAGCAAGGCCCCTCCTTGCATGCGGGCTGATTCGCACCTCCGCAGCCCAGTTTTGCTGCACGCGCGAGCGGATTGCCGCTGGCCCGCCGCGACGGAGCAAGTTTATGTAGCTCTTGCTCTGCCAGGGAGGCAAGGCTGGATGGCATGACTCCCGTCGTCTGGCGGGCCCGGGCCGCGTGCCCGCCTCCCCCCGCGGGCGCAGGCGTCCTGGCACAAGGTAGGTCAGTTCGTGGCGGCGCAGTCGGTGGAGAACATCGACTTCGCCGTCAACAAAGAGGGCAGCACCGGAGGGGCCAGGGCTGCGTATGGCAGGCTCGCGCCGTGTCGGCGCGGCCGCAGCCCCAGCGGGCGTGCAAGGTGGAGCGCCGCCGCTGGCCCAGCATCGTCAGACATCGAGCGATCCGCGCTGCCAGGAAGCCGCGATCGTGCAGGACTGCGCGATCCATGCTCAGGAGGGACAAAAACAAACAGATACACTTAATCGTCGATTCCCCAGAAAATATGGGAAAATATAGGAAGTGAGGGGGAAGGCAGAAACCCCGAAAATATGGGGAAATATGGGGAATCCTGTTATTTGTGAATATATATATATATATATATATATATATATATATATATATATATATATATGTGTGTGTGTGTGTGTGTGTGTGTGTCCCAGGGCCCCTTGAAGGAAACCGCGTTCGTGCAGGACTGCGCGATCCATGCGGTGGCAGACACCAACGCCAACGTCGACACGACGAGGCCCTGCAGTACGTAGGCTGCCGGCGCACAGAAGCGGCTGGGGCGACAGGGGTGTCTTGGCCTTCAAGAAATCAGGGAATCTTTTGGGGGTCCTTTTGCCTACGAGAGGCCTTCCCAGAAGTCTCCGAATCTCCCTGGGGAGCACCCAGCCTTCTTTAGAAGGAGTCCCCTCCCCCCACCAGTACGGCCAAGCTTTGGGCAGAGGGCGGAGTATCTGGGGAGTCCGAACAGGAAGGAGACAGATGGGGACGCTGAACGCACGTCCCGACCAATATGGGCAGGAACTGCTGCCCGCTTCGAGGCGAACGTGGTACGCTGGGTGCCGAACGTATTTCTCTTGCCAGCAGTCGCTGACCGTGTCGGGCAACGTATGTCGTTGGTGGTCGTCCCTAGTCATTTCTGGTTGCGGGCGTGCTCTGGAGCATCGGAAATTGAGGTGATCAGTGGTCACGAGACGAGAACCCCAAGCCATCGCGTTTGTTTACGCGGGCTGAGTATGCCATGCGGCGACCACGTTCGTCCTCACGAGGCAAGCGCGGCATACGACAGCACTGGTCCAGACGAGGGGGTGTCATAGGGGATCTCAAGAGGCGCAGCCAGGAGATTGACAGCGAGCCTTGTGGCCGGGGTGCCCTCGCAGCTCGGGCTGGCGCCGACATGCCCACATGGGGGTCGGGCCCGAATCAGTCGACCCTTGCAGTCATGAATTTCTCATGTGCTTCGGGCCTGCAGGGGTATGGGCCATGGGCCCTCTAGGAGTCACTGAGCCGTCACCACCATGTCGCCAGCAACGCCACGTGTTTTTACATAATCATGGCGCCGGCAACGCCATGTATTTCTACATATTGTTGTGATGATTCTACAGTGTCTGAGCTCTGTGCATGAGAAGGAGGGTGAGTTGGAAGAGGAGGAGGAGGAGGAGGCATATGAGGAGGAGGAAGAGCAAGCGGTGCGGGGGGGAGGGGGAACGGAGAAGGAGGATGAGGAGGAGGAGGAGGAAGAGGTGCCGCAATGAGGCAACGGACGGTGTGGAACAGTTGCAGGTGGCAGAGGCAAAGAGATGAGGACGATTCAGATGACGGCGATGATGCGAATGCGTAGGATGATGTTGATGATGATACTGATGATTATAATGATGATGGTGCTGGTGATGGTGCTGATGACCATGAAGATGCTAATGTTGCTGGCGATGATGATGCTGATGATGCTGATGATGACGATATGGTGATGATGATGCTGATGATGATTATGATGTTGATGATGAAGCTGATGTTGCTGCTGCTGATGATGATGGTGATGCTGATGAAGATGCTGCTGCTGATGATAATAATGCTGATGCTACTGATGATGATGCCGATGTTGATGATGGTGATGCTGGCAATGCTGATGATGCTGATAATGCTGATGATGATTATGAGGGTAATGATGATGATGCTGAGGCTGCCGGTGATGATGATGATGATGGGGATGCTGATGTTGATGCTGATGATTTTGATGATGATGCTACTGATGCTGAGGATGATGACGATGCTGCTGACGATGATGATGCTGACCATGAGGATGGTGTTGAGCATGCTAATGCTGCCGGCGACCACAATGCTTATGCTGCTGATGATGCTGATCATGGTGGTGATGCTGATGATGATATGCCGCTGATGAATGTGATGCTGATGAGGATGATGACGATGCTGGTGTTGATGATGCTGACGTTGATGACGAGTCTGATGATGGCGGAAGTTGTGGTGGTGGTGGTAGTGCTGTTCACGATGCTAGGGTGGTGAAGTGATGCTGATGCTTATGATGCTGCTGTTGATGATGATGGCGGTGGTGGTGGTGATGGTGGTGGTGGTGATGATGAGTATGATGATGATGGGGTGATGCTGCTGATGATGATGCTGATGATGATGGTGATGGTGCTGCTGCTGCTGATGAAAATGCGAAGACAGATGCTGCTGCTGATGATGATGACGATGATGACGGTGATGCTGATGATGATGTTGATGTTGATGACGACGATGCTGATGGTGATGATGCTGATGATGATCATTATTTCAATGCCGATTATGGTGATGCTGATGCTGCTGATCATGAAGATGCTGATGATGATGAGGAGGATGAGGAGGAGGATGGTGATGATGATGCTGATGATGTTGATAATGCTGCTGGTGATGGTGGTTACAATGCTGGTGATCATGGTGCTTCTGATTATGATGCTGATGCGGATGCTGATGCTGATGACGATGCTGCTGGCTGCTGGTTGACGACGATGATGCTGATGCTGATGATGAGGATGATGATGATGACGATGATAATGCTGATGATGATGCTGCTGATTGACGATGATGATGCTGATGATCATGATGATGTTTATGGTAATGATGCTAGTACTGATGATGATGACGCCGATGATGAGGAGGAGGGTGGGGACTAGGGTTGGGCGGAGATGGCGCGGTGGGAGGAGGGTGGGGGAGGGAGGTACGGAGGAGGCCCTGATGGAGGCTCGGAACAGTGGGCACCCTGGATGGGGCACGCTAGAGTGAGTGGGGGGAGAAGAAGGAGGAGGAGGAGGAGGAGGAGGAGGAGGGAGGAGGAGATGATGAGGAGGAGGAGGAGGAGGAGGAGGAGGAGGAGGAGTGGAGGAGGACGACGAGGAGGAGGACGAGGAGCAAGAGGAGAAAGAGGAGGAGGGGGAGGAGGATGACGAGGACGATGAGGAGGAGGAGGAATAACAATACGACTGCGAAGAAGAGGAAGACTCAGGAACACAATAATATTATTGATAAGAGACGAATCATCAGTCTGATACGAATCAGACAAGAGTGCGTCGGATCATAATAAGACGAGTAATCATAATCGTAGGACGAATGCTAACCATAATGGTAATCATACTCGTCATAATCGTAATAAGACTACGCATCATACTACTAGTAATACGTTGATTAATACTCTAATACGAAGATGAAGAAAAGGAGAAGTAAGCATACCCATTATATTGTTCAGCAGAACAAGACTAATAGCACCACTATGCGGAACCCTAATACGAATTACTAAGAACAGTACGACCACACATAATAACACTACTGATCACATATTTGGGGTAATCTTAAGAAGACGAATGGTAACAGTATCCGGAATAGAAATATTATTAGGATGCGACTTTTATGGATGACCTCCCGTGTATGCGTATCTATAGGCCTCGCTGGCCTGCGCACCCCCTCCTCCCCAAGGGCGGCCTCCGCTAAGCGGTGGGACCGTTCCTGGGTGGGCGGGCTGTGCTGGCCCCCGATCAACGTGCTCGGGCGCTGGGGCAGACCCGCGGCCTGACACAGGGTGAACAGAAAAGGGATCGAGGTTCCTCGCACCCAGCGAAAGGGAGGCCTAGCCTAGGGTGCCATGCCATCAGACGGAACACCGCGCCCTCCCTCCCCACGAGTTGGCCCCCGCGGAGCCAAGACGAGCAGGAGGGAGGGGATGGCGCCTGCCTTCAAGGAGAGCCTCACCGAGGCAGTCAGCTCTCCCCGAGCTCGCCGCGCAGCGCTTCCAGGACCCCGCCCAGCTGCTCTAGCGAGAGGTCCTTGAGCACAGCGCGCAGGGCAGCCACCCCGTGCTCCGAGCTGTCGACGCTGACGAGGCCCAACTTCGCGAGCTCTGCGTTCAGCATCTGCACCTTCAGGGCCTCCTGCATGGACTCGATTTCCTTCGAACCGAAGCGATCCCAGAGGAGCCCGCACCACACGCCCCGTGGGTGGCCTCCTGCTCCTCGCCTTCCGACCCCTTGACGCCCACGGACTGCTGCTCCAACCTACCCATGTCGACAGAGAGGCTCACGTCGTCGTAGGTGTCCTGCTCCGCTTCCTCCCGAGGCGGAGGTCGGCAAAACTCCCGACCTCCGCCTGCGTGCACCAGCACAGGAGGTACCGCCTGCCCCTCCAAGAACTTGCCCTGCTTCGCTTTTGCCCTGGCACCTCCGGCATGCACCGGCACGTCTGGAGGTGCTGACTTGACCTTCTTGATTTTGCCACCTTCGCCGCTCCTCAGCGGCACGAGCTCGACCAAGCCGCCACTCCGCCATGCTCGCCTCCTGCGCCGCACACCTGCGCGCTTGCGCAGCTTGGTTTGCCTCGATGACCGTGGCCATCTCCTTCTTGTCCTTGGCGCCACCTGCGTGCACAAGCACGTCTTGAAGTACCGCCCGCCTCTCCTTGAACTCGTGCCCGACGCCACCTGCGCGCGCCAGCGCGTCTTGAGGCACCGCCTGCTTCTCCTTGAACTCGCACTCGTACTGATAGCTGGACTGCATCATGCCGTCACCTTCCTCGTCGCCACCAGCCACGGTCTGGCGTGCCAGCACCGATGGGGGATCCTCAGCGCCGAACCGCGGCTGCTCATCCCCATCTCCCCCAGCGCCGCGTACAGGGGCCACGCCAGAGCCCGGCTCCAGGTACCAGCGGAGGAGCTCGTCCTGGTCTCCCGACCC